TGGTGTCCTAAGCAAATGTAACGGCAACAATCAAAACATGTATATTTTAATTAGTTTTAAAAATTATTTTTCAACCCAGTGCAATTTTATTTAGTTTTAATTTTTTATTTTGGCTGTTTCCGATCTTAGCTTTGGCACACCACTGACGATCAACGCATTCTATTTGGCCAAATAGTTTTTATTTATTCAACAAAATTATTTAATTGACCATATGCAAGGAATGCGGTCGATGTTGCCAATGGTAAAAAAATAAAATTCCCTGTTGGGAACATTCAATTATATTACGTTGGCTACATTGAAAATTTGAATTTCCCGCACAAACTAAATTAATTTCCATGTTTTTTTTAATAATAATAAAAAATAATAATTCCCACATTTAAAATTCGCACCTTAATGTATTATACAACATTGGAACTACCTTCTTTATCTCTGGGAACTACTAGAATGTATGTCAGTTTCTGCGGGAAATTCAAAATTTCAGTGTAGCCAACGTAATATAATTGAATGTTCCCAATAGGGAATTTTATTTTTTTACCATTGACAACATCGACCGCATTCCTTGCATATGGTCAATTATAATTATTAATACCTATTTGTCCAAACAAAATGCCCCAGTAAATTGTATTTATGTATGTATGTATGTAGAGGTATATAGGGTGTCTTGACTTTGCAGCTACTAATTTAGATAATATTTATATATTTATAATACATAACATCAAAAGGGCTTGATACAAAACACCCTGTACATATGAACATCACGTCTCGTATTATTATTAGAAAAATTTCCGTACACTTATAGGTAAATATATCATGTATTTATTTGCATTTTTTCCAAACATTGAGTTATTTTATACGGCTGGATAAAATAACTCCACTTCATCGTATTTAATTCATTTTATTCATTTGCTGGTATATTTATTTTTCAAAAAAATATTTATTCATTATTTGTTGAGATTATTTTTATTATTTAATTACTACGGACATTCCGAAATCAGTATTTTGAAGTTGTCATTAAGATTATTTTAATCTATAAATATTAATATACATATATGCGAGGGGCAAACCACTGATTTTTTTAAATTAAAAATCGCTTACGAATTAACGGCTAAGGATAACAATAACAAGGGTAGTCATGTACAACGCGTCGCTAAGCACTGATTAAGCACCGATTAAGCACCGATTAAGCAAGTTTTCCTTATTGATAACGACTGATAAGGAAAAAAATCTCAACACAACGTCCACTAACATTGAACGCTGGTCTATAAGATTTTAAAGTGGTTTACCCCTCGCATATATGTAATTTAAATGAGTGTCAAATTATGTTGTAAATTTGTTTTAATTGATTATTATCAAGTGGCCTTTAAAACAATAGTATTTTTGTAACACTTACAATGTTCAGGTTTCAAAAAACCCTAAACGTACTGTCAAAATTATACTTATTGTACAATTGATTGTTGAATGGCAGCTTCTATTAAATAGTACTATTAAACCATGACATGAAAAAATATTTTAAAGATATTATATTTCGTTTTATTTCAACTCCTAAATACATAAGGTGGTAGGTATTAAAAATTAACAATTTACTATCAAATACTATTATGACGAAATAGAACCAAACATAACATAAGAAAAATAAAAATGTCCGTTGAAAAATTATAATATCGGCAACCTAGAATACAATCTTGTACTATTTTGTTGCCGCCAGACAGATATTTAGTTTGGTTAATTATTTAAAAATCATTTTAAGCTTCTTGGGCAGAATTTACAAATTATTAAGAACCTTGTATTTTTTAAAAAACTATGGTTTGAGTTTTTATCAGTTTTCCAATAATACGAATGAAGAAATAAATTTCATACAGTCCATGTAAATATAATTTGTATCTATTAGATGCAATAAATACACATTTTAGTAATGATTAAGTGAAAAGTATAAACATTTCAATTCAGTAAAAATCGTCAAACAAATAAGTCGTCTAAATTTAAACAGCATTTAGCATTATTAAAAGCGTTGATTAAGATTTCTTTAAAGTCTCCACTCAACGGTAAATTACCATTATATTATTTATTTTATATAATATTATGTTGCCATGAATTCGTGGGTATATTTTGTTGTTTAAAATGTAGTTGACGGCGTTTTTTATAGAACTCAAATATAAAAATGGGTTATGTTTGTACAAAAATTATTTTTTACTAATTTCTTAAAAATGTCCAAACTTAAATATAAATTATATTAGGTAAAGTTATCATTAGTTAATTCTGCACCAACAAATGTACTTACCGAATTGGATCCTTTGGCAAAACATGAAAATGCAACGATTTAGTTCTTGCATTTTATTTACAATTAAAAACACGATAATTCACCATGATCCCTTTGATAAAATACACACACTAACGTAAGTATATAAGCATTTAAGCGTTGAGTTTCTTAATCAATGATATAAGGAATAATCAATCGAAATCTAGTACTGAAAAGGTTGGACTCCTCTAACGCCTGAAAGTATAAAACCCGTAATACAATTTTGAAATTTTAAAATAATATTTACTTCGTTTGCTTAAAAGAAGCCAACTAAGTAAAGTTTGCTACAGATATATGACATCTGGCGATGTCAATACTGATAAACAATCCACTTAAGATCTTTGGAATGCAAAAGGGACCCTTCCAAGTTCAATTTTCAGGGGGTGTCGGGATTTGAGATGCAAAATTAAATTAGTTAAATTATATAAATAATAAATCGGTAACTTATACGAAAATATTATTACACTGTACTACGAGTACCCCCGTATTATGTTTGCACAGAGGTATACCTCTCTACGGGACGCCCTTTTGTTAGATAATAAATAAACAGTTTATTGTAAATATTAAAATTTGTTATTTAAATAGTTAGTTAGTTAAATAATGTGAACTTGTTTAGTATTAAGTTAGTAATAGTTTTAATTGTTATGTTCAATACAATTGTTGTAATTTAGTTTTAAGTTTTCAGTACCTAATCTTATTATCGGTCAAAAAACCGAATAGTTAAACTTGAATTTGTATGTATTATTTTCTAAAGTAGTACCGAAGTCGGTACTATACAAATTGTTAAAATATTTTATTGTAAAAAACCAATATTTCGGAAAAACCCAATCAACCAGTACAAAAGTTGACTAAGGGCACACTTAAAACTATTAGGTATTTGACTGGGATACTAGACGGCAAAAATATCTATCCCAAATGTCTTTTCCACTTAAAAATGTTAAAACACGATTTTATCTTAATTTTGCCATGTCACACATATGGTTTACTTTTTTCCACGTTGGGGAAAGACAAAGAACGATATATAAGAGGGGGATGATTCAAAGCTGCGTAAGCGATTTGGGCAGTCAGTTTCCAGTTCTGGTTGCGTGTGGACGTTTTTCCAAAACTCCGTTCTCGAATTCAAACTTGTGTGTAACGCCAGTTGTAGCCATCTTGTTTATTTGAATCCGACGCCGCGACATCGCGCCCTCTATCGTACGAACGCTTCAACTTTGTTTAAATTTCCCGCCGCGTGTATGTGCTGCCACCTGCTGGACAATCAATTCATTGCAGTGACATTTAATTTCAAAGCCTATCGCCGTGAGTGCTGACACCTGTTAGTAGTTGTGTAGTAACAGTGAACAAGTAGTTTATTAAGTTTATTATTAATCATTTGAGGATCGTAATCAACAAGTAGACCCGAAACTACAGGTATGCCAAGACATGTTATCATTGTAATTGTTTTTCCAACGTAAAGAGAGTAAGAGCCATTTCATAAATAAATTCATAAATAAATTAATTGAACCGGGATATCTACCTGCCTACAGTCCGATAAATCAGGTGACAACACTCTAGTACTACTAATGTTAAACTATTACATTTTCCAACAAATAAATACCACATCAGGCATATATTGACGCTATGATCTGCAACGGAAATCAATACAACATTTTCTTAAAAGTATAGAGACACCTTGCATTATTAATTGCTTGCATGTATACTAAACGCTAGTTGTGAGGCTGTCAATATACTGTTTAATCTCGTGCAACCTGGGAGTGTGATAATATTAAATTGAAAATACATCCTGTACCTTCCGATATCCTGTAGGATCAGCGGAAAAGGCGAGTCCCAACGATGGAACACCAACATTGAAACGATTCCCACCGAAAAGCTATAGGCAACCACAGAAAAGAGCCAACAAAGGCAATCCTTCCCAATATAAAAAAAGAAAACTTCATAAATATTAACACACTTCCGCAGAGACTAGAGTTGATATGTGAGCTGATGATAAGGTACTAATAACCACACATCTACTTCAAAAAACAAAATATAAAAAAAATAAATAGAGGCAACTCTCGATCGTAACGATCGCCAACAATATAAACAATAAAAGAGGCCCAAGCCCACTGGAAATCGAAATCGAATTACACCCGTTCATCGATTTGATTTTATAATAAAAAAAGGTTTTACCATCATCCTTTCCATAAAGCAGAGTACCTGTCACTTGATTTTATGACTGTCGGCACGCTTCTGGTAATCCTCCGGCTTAAATACCGACTCGGACGCCAGGTCAACGAACTTGGCAGTTTACTGTTTTAAAAAGGGGTGTAAAACGAAATATTGGTTTCCGCAGTTGCTTTTGTTCTCTTTACTATAAATAAATAATATGGTTATAAATATTTGTTTGATTGTTTGTCACTCTTCCTACTTTATTATGACGAATCGGGGCTAGACGTATTCTAGGCCAAATTAAAGGTAAATATAGGTATTACAGGGTAAATTAATTAAACACAACGTAGCCCGGGTCCTTTCCATTACAGTACTAAACCAGTTTTTTAGTTTTTTCCTTGCAACGTAGAACACAAATAACGTGCGCGATTTAGCAAAATTTGTGAAAAAACTAAGTACCAATATACTACATACTACTAGTCCTAAGTACTAGTAGTATGTAAGTACTACTAATTTTGTTATAAAATTGGTAGGTATTAAAAAATAATCAAAAATATTAGTTGCAATAAATTATATTTATTAACTGTCAAAAAGTTATATCACAATTATAATACCCATAAATAAGTAATTACAATAAAATTGACCTAAGGTAAAATTATCTAAAAAAAAAAATACAAAAAGCATAATAGCTAAAAAATTAGAATAACAATAAATACTTAATTTCATTTTAAAAGGTAATAAATAGTTAGATAGCATATTTGTCTACTATATAGAGATTAATTTAAATATCATAAAAGATCATACTAACCTTAAAAACATTTTCATTCATATACCGTGAATGTCTCTTTGTAAATTGATATAATCCTTTAACTTTTGCATATACGATTTTTCCATTGTCAAAGCGCAAGCTGCCTCTTGAAATTTATCCTCGTTTCTTCTCAAGTACATCAGAGCGTCTCTTTTTAACTGTTGCAATTTTTTTGAGTCAGTTTCGACCATCGATATCATTTCAGTTAGGTACGGATTGAAACGATAGTAAATGTTGGGCGGTAGTAGATCATTTAAAATTGTGTGGACAGCTGCAAAAAATTATCCCGCTATTGCACCAAATAAATACACAGTTACAAGCAAACGGAAAATATAGAAGTGTATAGGATGAAGTTTTATCAGAACTGTATTGAATCGTGCTGTTTTTATATTTTTCGACCATAGTTAAAGTCAAACTCAATGGTGTCTTACAAGATACATTATTTTGATTTTCTATATTCAACAGAGAGGTAGAAACTCGACCCTGTTGAATGGCGCAGTCGTTTATGTCTCTAGAAATTATTGAAAAAGGGGGCAGTCCAATGGTGCAGCAATTTCGGATTCCTATTCTCTTCAGAGACATAGAAACTCGAGCTTTTAGAATTTTACTGGCAATGATTTTCGTTAATGTGTGAATTATACAAAAACAGCGCAATGCAATATCGCAACGGTTTCGACTTCTCTTTACTATACCAAGTTATAGAAACTGGAGTCTCTTTAATACTGTTCTAGTCAATATTTCTGAGAGCATAAAAAGAGGGTGTAATTCAATATTGCAAGAAGTTTTGATCTTTTGATGGATGCAAGTAGTTTGAATATTCTCATTTCTGCATATGATTTTGTTGAAAATAGTTCCTTTCTTTGGTTGCTTTGTCTGATTTTTATTTACCGCAACAACTCAGGTATGTAAAGCACAGAGGATATGATGTAAAGTATATTTATGTATTATATAAAGTACCTATATTTGTATTAAAAATTTCAGAGGTTATGTTGAAAAAACGATCGATATGCTATTAAACTTTAATAATTTAGTAATGAGGTCTGTTGGTAGACCCTGCACTATCTCCACTGGTATTTGTTAGTACAGCAATATTTAAATCTGGTTGATCAAAAAGTACACACCAGTGCAGGTTATTGTAGCATCTACGAACAAATGAATTAATGGCCCATTGGCAATTATTTCTTTAGGAAAAATATTCAACACAGCTTAATTAATTAATAAAATGAAAAAAATCACAATCATGTCGTTTATAGTTTTTTTTCAAGCCTAAAATAATTTTCATATTAATACTAGTTTAACAGTCAAATTGCGACCTCTGTGGAGAGTATTCAAACTTAAAGTCATCCAATACACTTCTATATTTTTCCGTTTGCTGTGTATTGCAATGTACCTTCTGTATCAGTGGCACTATCCAATATTTTGTAAAATTTATTAGCCCATGAGGTGGTGTTAGCTGACTGTGGAGCCGTTATAAAATCGGACGTCGACAAAACCGACCTTCCAGTGCCAAAAGACACAATACACTGTATCGGAGTATCAGGCCATAGCAGCTTAACTTCATGTAAAGCTATAGCTGTAGGGTTATTCACCAAAATACCACCATCCTGGAAACGCTCAATTAACAAACAAAAAATGGAAAAACAGTTGAGTAACAGATACTTGATGAATCAGATTTCCCAACTTAAACTCGTCAAAATAGGTAGGGGCTGCCGATGAAGCCCTAGCGGCTTGCCACACTTCATGGTGGCTGCTTCCCAAATATTCCGAATGGTAGCGCCAAGGTAAAGAATAGTTTCTAAATAGATAGGCTGAAAGTCTAGTCTGGTTGACGACTGCAGAAACGGTGCAAATCTGTAAAAAATATTTTTTATTTATCCTAACTCATTTTTATTCCTTTTTCTGTAAGTAATTTGACATAGGCAACATTTTATGTTTATGGTTTGATAGAAATCAGGTTCTTTTGTTAAAAAAGAAGCTGGTTTTGGAATCGATAATTTTTAAGTTTTTTTAACTAAATTAACTTGTTTAGTCCACTTTTATTTATAAAATCGCCTTTGATTTTAACTTTTAGAAAATTTAAATCAATATATCAATATATAGTTCATTGATTTTAAATTGAGATGAAACTTGTTCTTTTTTAAAGATCAGTTCGTTTTTGTAAGGGGTCGTAGGTCAAAATTTTGTTTAGATTTTTGTAATTTTTAGTTTAATATCTATAATTTTTGTGTTAAATATTTTCAACAAAAATATCAACCGATAAGGATAAAACAGTTTCTTATTTAAGTTTTATTTTTAAAACGTCGAAAATAACACAATTTTTAAACACTAATTACTCAAAATGGTGCGTAATTTTTGGAAACTATAATCGAAATTACATTATTTGATTATTAATAAAATAATAAATAACAAATATATAATTAAGAAATTCGTCACACTTAACGTAATATGTTTATCGCGCAGGTCTGACTCACCCTCTTTTTTTGATTTTTTTTTGTTAATAAGAAACAATTATAATCCCTTCAACGTAATCAAGCGTTCAGTTGTAATTTGGCTTTTATGCGACGAACATGCTCATTTATTACTTTTATCTACATCAACAAATTGCTAGGTATTATTAGAATACTAACGCATCTATTAGGTCAAATAATACTACGAAAATTTTTGATATTAAAAAAAATAAAAAAAATAAAAGTTGCAGTCCTTAAATGGTCTAATTGTATTTTTTTTCTAGGACCAACATGTTAAAGCCATGGCTATTAAGACAATGGATACTAAGAAATAAGACAACCATATATATATATATATATATATATATATATATATATATAAGGATAATGGGATTTAACCAGAACTCATCAATAAATTTGGCCAATTAATTATTTTTAAATTTTTTGACTAAAATTATAGTAGCTACCTAGATATTTATTCGCTAATTTTTAAGTTTTTTTAACTAAATTTCTTCAAACTTGCTTAGTCTACTTTTATTTATAAAATCGCCTTTGATTTTAACCTTTAGAAAATTTAGTTTAGTTTTAGTTTTTTGTTGTTTTAAATCAATATATATATATAAGTTAAGTTTTTACTTAATAAAAAACACTTTTTATTATAAAAGACAAAATTTTATTTTACAACTAAATGGCAGAGTTACGTACAATATGAGATGCAAACAGAGAATAATCTTTACATATGTAATTGCAGTTTTTAATGAGAAACTAAAAATGCTAACTAAACAAATTAGTGGTGGCTCACATAACTCCTCCCTTATCAGAAAGTTATTTGGGGGTCGATAGTCTCCAAATTAGTTGGTGTTGGTTGAGGCGTTGTTTTTTTTCAGTAGGCAAAGCGTACGTTTTTTCCAGATGTACAGGGACAAACATAACATTCCAAAACCATAAAGCAAAAATGTCCAGATTGGGTGAATTTCCAATTTAGGTTCCTCCAAAGGAATTTCTTGTAGAGATGCCTTGAGGTCCATTAGATCGTCGAGGTTTATATCTTGGATCTTCACAGGATTGATAGTACGTTTTGGGTCGAATTTGACTTCGTAGGTTGTCATAAATGGTTGCTTCTCAATAATTTCTATGTCGGTGCTTCGGATGACTTTATCGTCAACTATTATATGACAGTTGATCGACTTGAGCAGACAAGGTTGTTTTACAATGAGTTTCGTTACTTTGCCGTTACAATCTTCTGTGATGGTTGCTTTTGATTTCGGTATTATTATCCAGTAATTAGAATCGGTAACGCTTTGGACTATCGTGTTATTAAAATTAACAGGCGTTAATTTACAGTTGGTTTCTTCTTTAAATTCCATGATGTTTGTTTCACAGATGTTGGGGTCGTCTAGTTTATCTTCATCGGAGTAGTCGCATAAGTAAGTTGTTCTTAATTGCTTACAGTTTAACTGGTTATCGAGGATATAAGTTTTATCAGATTTTAACAGAAATCTTGCTTTTGGTATAACTGCCATAAATGTATTATTAATTTTTTTTGGTATAGAAAATAAATGGTATACGCTAAAATTTGCATTGTTTATTATTGGTATATCCAAAACAAAAATTAATTTAAAATTGAAAACATAAGAGCTTACTTTAATAATTTTTTCGTAATCAAATATATTATTATAATCAGGTTTTATTGGTAAGTTTAATTTTGTATTTAATAATGTGAGTTCGTGAAGTAAGTCATAGTTACTCAGTATTGAAGAATGTAGTTTGCCTAATTTTGAAAAGTTTATTGCTGTATCTAATTCCAAAAGAGTTAATCTAAGGTTCGTTATCATTCCTAGAATATAATTAAATATAAATTTAATGTGATTATTTGATTGAACATTTCTACTCAAATATGCTATTTTATTGATTTTGTCTTGAAGTATATGCTCATGATGTTGTATGGTTGACATAGTTGCATTAAACTTATTTATTAATTTTCGCGATATTGTAATTTGTTTGTTTAAGTGAATCTGGAGATCTTTTTGATTTAAATAAAATTGTTCGTTTTGGGAGTTCGTTAAGAAAAGTAGTTTTTTTTTCATCAAAACGAGCTACTTTAATTGGATTTAAAAATGTAATTTTAATCGCATTTTCTGTGGGGTTTAATATAGAGGTTAACGCAAAATTATTTACTGATGTAGTTAAACTCTCAGGTATTTCACAACCATTAATTTTTTGATATGGTATAATTATTTGTCCTTCGTAAATATTAACGGGTATTTTTGATATGATTTTACTTCGTGGCGGTACTTTTATGGTACAAATGGGTGGATTTTCAGAACGGATGTATTGCAAGGCTATTGAACAAAAAGGTGTCTCTAATAACGAAAGTACTAAATTTAATTTAGCTTTTAGTTTAATTAAAATATCTAATCCAATAATTCCGTCGAAGTAATTATGAAATTCTAGCAGATGAAATTTAAATTCCAGGGGATATGGTATATCAAAAATTGTAAAAGCAGGTATTTTAATTGATTTATTGATAATATTATTTTGCTGAAGAACAGTGACTATTATTGGGTCATTGATTATATTTTTTGAGAAAAATTTTGAAGCTAGTGATGGTTTTAAAAATGAATTTGAAGATCCAGAGTCTATTAAAAGTCTAAGATTATATGGGGGAATAATAATAAATGGCAATTTGCTGTAGTTTACATTGTGAAATTCTATTAGCGGAATTCCTTTAGAGAGGCATGGGTTTGAAAATTTTCATACGCGTCGTCATCTGTGTCGTTATGATACGTGACTTGTTCGCTTTCTTCTTGCACGATTCCTGGAATTACATAAGTGTCTTGTTCACTTGATTCGAGATCATATGAAGGTTCTTCGAAAAACTCATCTGACGGAATTTCCGCAGTATAAAGTTCTTCTGCCACAAAATTTGGTTTTTGTCCATTTGGTTTAAAAAAATTCCTACTTTTATTGGAAAAGTTTGACTGATGAGTGTTTGTCAAATGTCTGCTTGAATTTTGTGAAATTCCGCTCATAGGCGTAGGTTTATAAATGGGTCGATAATTTGGATTCGGGGCAAAAACATTTCTTGTTTGACCGGAATGAGTCGTTATATTTTTGTTTTGATATGGTGGTCTCATAAATGAAGAAGATTGGGGGTTTTGCATGGGTAAATTATTAAATTTTGAAGGGTTTGGAAAATTTTGAAAGTTTGAAAATGAATTTTGAAGAAAAGGTTTTTGAGCTATTTTATGTTTTTGAACTGAATTTTGGTTAACTGAATTTCGATTTCGGTTAAATATTGCATTATTATTTTCCCTTTCTTTAATAAACTTGATCGCTTCTGGTAGATTTTGAGGACGCATATTTAAAATATTTGTACGAAGAGGTTCGAACAGTCCGTTTAGGAAAATGCTGAGTGTTAATTTTTGGTATTGTTCAATTTTGATAGGTCTGTTTCCGGCTGGCTCGTGTAGGGTACACCGAGCGTTCAACGCAGCAAGTTGAGATAAGCACCGTTCATAAAAACATTGTGCTGTTTCGTTTTGTTTTTGTCTCGTATTGGTTAAATCGATTATGAGGTTTTCCTCATTTCTTGAATCAGAGAAATTTCGAGTTAAGACGTCTTTTAGCTCTAACCAGCTGTTGATAGGTTGCGAATCAACTACTAATTTCGCTTGTCCTTTTAATTTACCAATTAGGCAATGCAATATTAAACTATTTTGGTAACAATTTACTTGATCTGCAGCTGGGTTATAAAAATGTTTAATCAAAAGTTCACACGAACTAATATACCGAGACAAGGTAAACGTGTCACCGTCAAAGTCGGGAATAGCTTTTAAATGGTTAGTTTCGAAAGATGGAATGTTTGTCATAGTGCTAGATTTAGAATCTGTATTGATTCCTAAATTGGTTAATAACTCGGTTAACTCGTCAATTTTGAAATAAAGATTTTAAATTTAAGATTTAAAGGTAAAGTACCTACTTATAAAATTTAAATAAGTATTTAAATTTTGTATTTAAATAATAGTAATTCAAGGCAGTTTAAAAACAAGATCTCTTGAAAAAATCAAAAAAACATATAAATACGACTTACAGTATAAGATCCTGTAGCATTCTGAAGGCGATTTTTGTCCTTGACTACTGCAGGTCTTGCGGCTCCTTGTTGATGTGAAACGAGTGCCCTTTGATCCTCTGTAGATTTCACAGCTCCCACTGGTTCTCGATGAATCAGGCGAATCACGCAAGACTTTATCCAGGATCGGTAAAATCCTTGGGTTCACTGTTGACCGTACTCGTCACAAGTTGCGAAAAATGTCTTAGATGTTCGATAAGTGTTTATTAGTCGATAGAGTGTTGAAACACAAGTAAAACACGATGTTGTACTTCGACTAATCCTACCAAGAC